CTATATGATAGGACTGATGGTAAAAAAAAATTACAAAATTTTAAGATTTTAAAAGTCTTACATTTAATGCAAAACATGAATAATAACCATAACAAAAGCAAATTAAGTTCAATAGGTAGAATTTATTAAAGTTAAGGGGACCAGAATTCTATAGCTAAAGTAAGAAACTTTGAAACTCTTCAGGTAAATGAGGACATGTACTAGAAGTTAGAAATTACTTTTCTGGCAAAAGGAAGAAGAGACACAGGCAAGTACTCGGCAAGCCCTAACAGTATCACCTAAGCTTTAAGGCCTGAAAGACTAAAGATAGAATTCTTTCAAATTATTATTTTTAAGACTTTTAAATTTATTTTTAGACAGAGGTAAAGGAGGGAGAGAGAGAGGGACAGAAACATCAATGTGTGGTTGACTCTTGAGAGCACCACACAGGGGACCTGGCCTGCAACCCAGGCATGTGCCCTGACTGCGAATTGAACCGGTGATGCTTCAGTTCACAAGGAGGTGATCGATCCACTCAGCCACACCAGCCAGGGCTCAAATTACTGTTTTAAAAATAGGTAGACATTTTCCAATTAAAAATATAAAATTGTATTATATTCCTTTTTCCTCTAGAAAGCAACCCCATTTACTTTTTCTCGTTGGAAACATATTTTCCAAATCCTTGATATTAGGGGTCACTTGTTAATTCAGTATGTTATTAATCATAGGCCTGCTGTGAATAAACATAGAATATGGGAAACTTTGGGTTCCAGGATTATCATTTTTTTCCAGTTTCAGCTAAATGTTGTCATCAGTCTTAAACAAAGCTCAGAAATAAGTGTATTGATGTATTTGGCTCACTAGACTTACCATTTATTCTGTCCTCTAAAAACACCAACAAACAATCTACTTAAAATATATTATTTTAATTGTGTACTATACGTTTTACATTATTATTTACTAACAATAGTAACTAGTTTTGCTCATTTTTATCTTGATAATACAATAGGGATAATAATGGTAATGAATGAAGCCAAAATTAATAACTTAATAAGGAAAAGAAAACATTTATTAATGAATCAGTATTTTTGAGATCACATGGCATGCAAAGTAGCATATTTAGAAATACACTTCATAATGTATCATTTATATATATCTTTTTATTTTTTCCACTTTTTAAAGATCCATTTTATTGATACATACTTTGCATACAATAAAATGCACCCATTTAAAGTATACAAGGTGATGAGTTTTGACAAATGTGTACAGCAGTGTAAACATCAGCATAATCAATTATCAAAAATTCCTATCACATCCCAAAATTCAATCTCTCCTATTTCTGCTTCTGTCACCATAGTTATGCCTTTTCTAGAAGTTCACATAAATTTAATACAGCAGCATGTGTTGTTTTGTGTCTGGCCTTTTCAGTCAACATAGTGTCTGTGATGTTCTCATATATTGCCGTGGGTACCAACAGTGTTTTTCTTTCTGTTGCTGAGTAGTATTCTATTGTATGTGTATATCACAATTTAAATTTTTTTTCAATTACAGTTCACATTTGGTATTATTTTGTGTTAGTTTCAGATATCTGACATAGTGGTTAGATAATCATATACTTTACAAAGTAGTCCCCCAGTATTTCCAGTACCTACCTGGCACCACACATAGTTATTACAATGTTATTGACTATATTCTCTATGCTGTGCTTTACATCCCAGTGACTGTTTTGTATATATATCTTTTAAAACTATGATTAAGCAAAATATTTGAAGACCCCTTTTATCTTAACTGCCTACCATCATCTCTTTTATCATAAACACATAATATTTTCTTTTGGATTCTCTTTTTCAAACAGATCAATGTTGGTGTCTTCCTGTATATTTTTTCATATTATCCCATGTCATTTCCCAATGGTTACTAAATGGACATGCTGAAGCTCCTGTAAGTTTTCAGAGTGGTAGTAGGCATACTTAATACCCAGTGGAAATTAGAGGGCTCTGTGGAGAATTGCCTGGCAATGAACCTTCATAGTCATTCAAAAATAATCTAAAAAGAGAAATAAACCAGTGTAATTTTAGAAAAAGTAAACTAGTCTAACTTTGATAAATTGTACAAAAGTAAAAACTTTACTAGGGAATAATTGATCAATTTTACAAAAATAGTATTTAATGTTAAATTCTGTAAGAGTTATATAGTTTGATGTGCTGAGAAAATATTTAGGCAAGAGGAACTAAACATATACACTTTTAATTAAATGTGAAATTTTAGGACTGAGTTGTTGGGGTGTAGTGGAAAATATCAAGCTTTCTTGCGTCATATGAGTGGTATAATCTAAATTCTATAATATGACAGGAGGGCAGCATCTTTTAGGCTGAAATGACTGGAGAATGCTTTTTTCAAGGAGGTGATATTTAACTGGGGCCTGAACAGTTTGGTAGACATTTGATAGGTGAAGATAAAAGTGTAGGAGACTGCAGTCAGTAGTAATAACATAGCAAAGGCAAAGAGCCTAGGGAAGGTTGGTTTGTACAGAAGACCACTTTGGTTAATGGCTGGAAAGAAAAACATCGAGGGTGTGCAGGTCAGGAATTCCAGAAATATTTCATACTCAAACTTTTCTTACTGCATTTATGGCTATTTTTGCATTCTGATAAGACACAACTCATAATTGCAACAGGTTAGACTGCATGGAAAGGAAACTGATCAAGAAAGAAAATTGCTTGCAAACTTGAGCTCACTGACCTGCAACATTTGCTATGCCTCCCAACTGTCTTTCCTCCCAGGGCTCCTCATAATCATTTGTTTCAATCCACTTGGACAAGGCATTCTGTTCTCAGAATAAGAACAAACTCTCCTTACCTCTGCGTTTGCTAAAATATAACAATCTACCGAACAATTCAGAGGAAATTGAACGTAGATTGCACAACTTACATGATACAAGCAACCAGCAACCTTGATTTATAAATATGTATGCATCTGTTTGCTCTATCCTGCAAACTTATGAAAAAAATCCTTAAAGCCAGAAACCACGCAATGCAATTTTTCATGCCACAGGGTTTTGCATTTTCTTTGGCTAGTCTACAAAAACAAAATCCAACTCACAAAATAATGCTAAATACATATATTTGTTGAATGAATGTGTTCTGGTGATGATAGCGTTTTTATTCCCTTCATGTTTCTCTTTATCCTTATGAGGCAATACTTATATTGAACCCAATTTTTATGCTTAGCTTCTAACTCTTGGAAAATAAAATGATTGAAACATATCTAGTCTCACCCCATAATGCTTTCACAATAAGGGTAAAAAGAGACATCTAGGGCATCTGGGGATGATCTTAATAATGATGGGCAAAAGATGCAATTTAAACGTCTTTCTGATTTACCTACTTGACTTAGAATGCAATATGAGGTTGGAGGAAGGGAATGGAGAAAGGGAATTGAGCTGCAGTCAGTCTTATATTACCTAATATGTTTAATTCCCCACTCTAGATGCTGGGGAAGAATGGATAAAAATAAAAATGATGGGTTTTTCTGTTAGGCTGTATTTTAAGTTGAAGGGATAGTTTGAATATTTATTCTTTTAAACTCACCATTCCAATTTTTTAAATCCACATGAATACAAATGGAATTCTCCCATTAAGTAACCGTTCAAAAGGTTAATTTGGTTAATTTTCTTTTTTTTTGGGGGGGGGGAGATGTTTTCCAGAATAGGGATTTGGGCTGTTTTTGGAGCACCTTTAAGTCCAATTAGCTGTTACAACAGTCAAAGCAAGGTACTGTAAGAAAGGGCTTCAGGGATTTGGACCCTATATTTACCCATAATTATATTCAATACCTTATTTGCCAATGCCCATCCCCACTCCAACAATCCACAGGTTTCGGGAAATAACTTTGGAAAGCAAATAGAAGCTTCTTTTAGCGTAGAAAGCCACTTAAAATGATTAGGACTTGGGCGAGGCTAGGGAAGCACTCTCCTTAGGTACAAAATATAAGGGGGTACCCCAAAACTCAGTAAAAAGGAGAAATATTTAATACACTATTGTAAAGATGTAAATTAATGTAAGAGCCCATGACTAACGAAATATCAAATTTTTAAATGACAGCATTCTACCTTAAACTTAACATAGTTCACCTCAATCGCTTAACTGTAATCTCTCGAGTTTGGGGCACATCCTTGAATTTTGCTCCAGAGGTGAGTGCCTTAACCACCTTATCCTAGTCCAAACTTCAGTTCTAAACACTTTCATATGTGGACCTCCCTTTAGATTTAAAACCCATTGAACCATCATTTTTCCTCTAGAGAGCCTCTGTTAGTACAAACCTCATGCGAGGTCCCACTGAATTCTTGGTGGACTCCCACCAAGTGGGATAAGGGTTATTTATCGGGTGTCCCTACCTTCAGGCACCTCCAGCTCTTCCAGCTCCCAGTTTTGGTGCTACTCTCTACTTGCAGGACACAGACAATTTTGGCAACTTCCTTGTGCCAGGGCCACAGTTCTGCTTTGGCGGAAAGTACCCCAAACCAGGAAAAGCATCTTCACTCTTTTCTACTTTCTGAATGAGCACTCTCCACTTAGTTCATCTCCATCCTCCTGCCAGAGTTAGAATGGAAAGACGAGCCTACGGCAACCAGGTCTCAAAAGCACTCCCTTCCCGCCCTGCCCCGGGAAGAAGTAAAGTGGACGTTTCGGAGGCCGTGGAGAAAGCAACTGCAGTGGCTTTTGCCTGTCATTACAACATAAGTGGGGGAAAATGATCAAGACAACTCGGGCTTTCTGGCTGGTTTTCCGCTTGAACACTTTGCGTTTTCTAAGTCCGCGTGCTCCTATATCCCAACTGCGGTCAGAGCAGGGAGCGGACGAGGGCTTCAGGCAAGTCCGTGCACCACGCCCCCTAGGCTGGTCACCTCCCTTTATTGGCCTGGTAGCCTGTCACTCCAATCTGGCTCCCACTCCAGCTAACCATTCACGTAGTTCGGTTGCGTCTTGGTGTGTTTAATGTTGCCAATAACGAGAGATTTTTTTTTTGGGAGGGGGGAGGCGAGTACAGGTCGTGCTGCAATTAGTTCATTGAAAACTCAGTTGCTCTCGGAGCGGAGGAGCAGACTGCTTTCAGCTTTTCTTCTGCTCACTGGTAAAATCTTCTGTGGAGAGCTGCAATAATGCCCAAAAGAAAGGTAAGTGAAATAGGAAGATATAAGGGGGATTGGCTACTGAAATACATATTTCTTAACCGGCAGAGATTTTTTTTTTAAAAAAAAGGATTTTGACTTCAAGTTCAATTTTGTGATGTGTGGAATGGAAGGGGAGGGAAGGGCAAAGAACGGTCGGTGTAAGGTTTAGGATGGTCTCTCATGCAACTAGTAGTTCACTTTTGACTTGTTTTGTTCAAGGCAAAGAATCGCTTATGAGGTGTCTCCATGCTGAATTACAAACAGCCATAGCGCTGTGCTGTCGCTTCCTACCCCACCCCCCTTCCTCCGCTTACCCTATTGGAGAACACTTCTCCCAACCGCACTTCCAGGCACCAGTTTCCTCCTCAGCCTCCGTCTTTTCTCCGGGAACCATCCCGTTTAGGAGTACGAAAGCCGTGGCTTTCTCCCATATTTGCCTTTGTTCTTCCCGTTTTCTTTTTCCTTTTTTCCCCTTCCCTCCTCCACTTCTTGTCATGCCAGATGGCTATGCAATGGTAATCCTGTGCCATTAGGCGGCGCAGACTTCAAACTGTCCTAGAGAAGGGAGAGATTCACCGCTGTAATTAACAACTTTAGGTCTGAGAGCGCTGGGGTTCTTCAAGCTCTCTGTCTAAAGGTGGAAAGAAACAAGAACTAAAGTAGTTAAAGTGTTGTTCGTGTTGGCATAGCAACATGCAGAAGTGATATGAGCTCCTCAAGGGCTACAGGTCTCCCGAAAACGCTCACTTCAAAATTTGTGGCTCCTCTCTTGGACGGGAAATAAATTCACGCTAGGTGTTTGTTTTGGGAGGAAGGGTCCCTTAGAAGTGAAATTGAATGCAGTTTCATGCTTGATAAAATTGTAAAACACGGTGCTAATGTAAGGCATTATGATTGTTTTGATATGATTCTTATTATTCTATCCACCTTCCCTATTTCTATAGCATAGGAATAAGATTGAAATTCCCCAGGGCTCTGGGGCTGTGCTATGAATCCTGCAATGGTTTCATAATTCCCAGGCTAGAGCACTGCTCAGACACGGGAAGCAATGGTTTCTAACCACCATCCCCCTTTCTGAGATTCCCGCCGTTGCACTTTCCTAGGCTTGTGCAATGTGTCTTGCTATTTTGCAGAGCTGACAGCAACCTTGTAGCAGGTAGTGGCGGGAAGTTTTAAAAATGCGGCTGGCTTCTCAGAATAACGCATTGACGTTGTAACAAAGAGATTTCCCCCCCCCTTCAAAGCATTGTGGGGGTTGTAGTTCTTGTGTTAAGAACTTGGAGGGTAGGATAGTCCAGACTAATTAGAGAGGTTCAGATAAATACAATAGTATCTCAAACATAAGGCAAAACAGGGAAATGGCATGAAGCCCCGCCTTCATTCTGCCCGCCCCCACAGTTTTCTTTGGGGCTTTAACACTAGCAACAACAGGTGGATCTTAAAATTTTAAAGGTTTGTTTTTTTTTAGGAGATGCAATGTACACAAAAGGATGAAATTGATTATCATTTGTGTAAACTTAATGTCTTGTGAATGTATTTGCATCTCGGTGCACATTTGCACAGTACTAGACAGCAGTATGTAGCATGCTACTAGGAAATAACGCGCAGCTATTTGAATGGGAATCTGGGGAAAAGTCCTAAGCGGTTATGTCGCAACTGTAATCCAAAAGTATTACTTTCTCATCTATATGTTTATATCCATGACCTTTTTTCTGTATGGTTTTCTTCTCTGTATAGGCTGCAGGTCAAGGCGATATGAAGCAGGAGGTGAGTTTCTTTAGTTTTAGAATCTGTCAAAAATCCACTCCTTTTTAAAACTTGAAGCTCATAAAGCAGCTAAAATATAGATGCTGGTTAGTATAGTTCACCACTTGAGTGGTGACCAATATATATGTCAGTGAGCTCTCTCAAAAATGTAGTATGGATTGAAAACTCCAAACTTCTTGGAGTTTAGGACCTTATTGTTCTTGTTAATATCTGGAGGGAGCTTCTTCCTTTTAAGCAAAAGAATTGCTTTGTCAGTTTACAAGAAGGGGCTATATTGTCATTTCTAAATATGTTCCTTGTTACTAGTGATTTTGCGCATTTAGCCTAGCAATTGAGGTTTAATTTCAGATTTTTTCTTAGTTATATGGAGTCTAGAGGAGGGAGAAATCAAAACTTATTTCTACTATGACACTTTATAATCAAGTTCATAATTGCTTTTGTAGTGTAAATAATTGCATATTTATGTAGTGTTACACTAAGTATTTTCACTGAAATATAAACAATTCTAGTATTGTGTATCCATAATTCTCTGAACTGATATATTTTTTCCACATATAGCCAAGGAGAAGATCGGCCAGACTGTCTGCTGTAAGTAGTCTTTTTAAAATTCTGCCCATGTATTGTGAAATATAATTTTAAAATTCAGGTAGTCCTGGACAATACTATATTTACAAGATTTATTTTTAAGGAAAAACTCTCACATGAAGGAAATGTTTCCCTGGTGTTCAGCTTGAACTATACCTATCTGTTTCAATTAAGAGGTTGAATGCTGTTAGTGATCTTTAATTCTGACTTCTTCCTCCCCCCCATCTTGACTCATGTTTCTTTGTGTGTTTGTTTATTCACTTTTTGTTTTGTTTTTTTAATACAGATGCCTGTGCCCATTATACCAGAGTTGAAGCCCAAAAGATCAACTCCAAGAGTAAATATTCAACATGCAATGTTGAGAGAAAATTGCTTTTGTTCAAAAACATTCTTTTGGAAAAGCATACAACTGATTGTTTTTATTTTCTGTTCACTTAGTAATATATTACATTATACCATTTGGTACATCTAATCTCTTTGAGTAAAGGAATATTTGTTCATGTATTGTGATTGTCCACTGTATTTTGGTCTTTTCATTAGGAAGAAACAAAACAAAATTTTAGTTGGATAGACCTGTAAAATGTACATGCCTTTGACATAATACAGTCACAATACCCATATTCCTAAAAAATCAAAAGGTGTAAATTATAATAACCAAGGCAATACTTTTTAATAATTTTAATAACTAACACATTTGATACTTCACAATTTGCAAAGTGCTTTCACATGCATTATTTTTAAATGGACTGAATTGATTTCATATAGGCTTCTGTGCTCTGATGTCATAGCTAAAGACATTGGAAATAGAAATAGCCTCAATATTAAGTTCATTTTATACTTTTTTGTTTATTTATATGCAAATGTGTGAATATAATTCAATTTTATTTTAAGTGCTTTATTGAGGTACGATTTATGTTTTTAGGATTGATTGAATTATTAAAATCATAAAAGTTTAAAGCTATAAGAACATTAGAGTCATGTAATCGCATTGTTTTGTGGTTGAAGAAAGTGCATTATAGTCTTATTTGTAAACTGCTTTGAAATTCTTGATTAAAAGATACTGATAAAATTAGGGTAAGTGAAGTCTTAAAAATAAGAGTGAGTGACAATACAAGAGAAAGTTTATTTTTTTCTCTATTTCACATTTCAAGATCACTATTGTATAAAATTAGGTACTCAATTTATAGGTTATAAAAATTGTAAACGCTTTATTTCCTTTAAAAATAGAAAGTATTGGTAGAATGAAACAGATAATATATAATCTTGGACTTCAAAATACTATGTACCTAGCCCTGGCTAGTTTGGCTCAGTGGATTGAGTGCCAGCCTGGGAACCAAAGGGTGGACAGTTTGATTTCCAATCAGGGCACATGCTTGCGGGCCAGGTCCCCAGTAAGGGGTATGTGAAAGGCAACCACATATTGATATTTTCTCCTTCTCTTTCTCCCTCCTTTCCCCTCTCTCTAAAAATAAATAAATAAAATCTTTTAAAAAATAATAAAATACTACCTATCTATATTGCATTTAACAGTTTCTAAAGCAATTTCACATGTATTTTATCATTTGCTCCTTATAACATCCCTATGACATAGATGGCATTACTGTCTTTTATATATGAATGAATAAGCTCAAAGGGATTTATGCTTTTGCTCAAGATCACATAAAGAAGGATCAGATGCAAATTTCACAGATATTCTGGCCCTTTAACCCAGTGCTCTTTCTACTACATATGTACTTAGGCAAAAATCTTTCTTGATAAAAAACAATCATGATTTGAGTCATTCTAAAATTTGTAGACACATAGGTTTAATCAGCTATGTCCCCAGGTGATCTCTTTGAAATGTATGTAAATTGGTAATCTCTCTAGTATTTCTCTTAATTACTACCAATGAAGTATTTGTAATCAACAAAACCCTGTTGCTAATTATTAGACATGACAGAGATAAACTAGCCCCTCTAGTCAAAGGCAATTCATTTATTGGTCTAACCTAATGCTGGCAGTTGGCCCTGAGTCACCACTGTTCTAACTTGTTGCTGCTCATCTAAAAGAAAATTTGTTTAATTTGTATTGGAAGAACATTATTTATTTTTATTATTATTTTTTTCCTTGTGGCTCTGTCATGTACCTTTTTAAAAATATATTTTATTGATTATGACATTACAGTTGTTCTATCCCCCCCCTTCATTCCCCTCCACCCTGCACACCCCCTCCCCTACCATTCCCCCCCTTTAGTTTATGACCATGTGTCTCATGTTCTTTAGATTCTATATCTCCCCTACTACTCTTGCCCTCCCCCCATCTACTTTCTACCTACCATTTATGCTACTTATTTTCTATACCTTCTCCCCCCTCTCCTTCTCCCACTCACCTGTTGCTAACCCTCCATGTGATCTTCATTTCTATGGTTCTGCTCCTGACCTAGCTGTCCTCTTAGTTTGCTTTTGTTTTAGGTGTGGTTGTTAATAACTGTGAGTTTGCTGTCCTTTCACTGTTCATCTTTTTTATCTTCTTTTTCTTAGGTAAGTCCCTTTAACATTTCATATAAAGGCTCAGTGATGATGAACTTCTTGAATTTGATCTTATCTGACAGACACTTTATCTGCCTTTCCATTCTAAATGAAAGCTTTGCTGGATAGATCAATCTTGGATGTAGGTCTTTGGATTTCATGACTTGGAATACTTCTTTCTAGCCCCTTCTTGCCTGTAAGGTCTCTTTTGAGAAATTCACTGACAGTCTGATGGGAACTCCTTTGTAGGTGACTGTCCCCTTAGCTCTTGCTGCTTCTAGAATTATCTCCTTCATTTTAATCTTGGCTAATGTAATGATGATGTGTCTTGGTGTGTTCCTTCTTGGGTCCACCTTCTTTGGGACTCTCTGAGCTTCCTGGATTTCCTGGAAGTCTATTTCCTTTGCCAGATTGGGGAAATTCTCCTTTATTATTTGTTCAAATAAGTTTTCCACTGGTGGCTGTTCCTCTTCCCCTTCTGGCACCCCTATAATTCGAATGTTGGAACATTTAAAGATGTCCTGGAGGTTCCTAAGCCTCTCCTCATTTTTTTGAATTCTTGTTTCTAGATTCTTTTCTGTTTGGTCTTTTTTTTCTCTTTCTGGTCCACTACTTTGATTTGAGTCCCAGTTTCTTTTCCATTACTATTGGTTTCCTGTGCATTTCCCTTCATTTCAAGCAGTTTAGCCTCCATATGTTCCTGTAATTTGTGACTAAAATCCACCAGTTCTGTGAGCATCCTGATCACCAGTGTTTTGAACTGTGCATCTGAAAGTTTGGCTATTTCTTCATTGCTTAGATTTATCAGCTCTGAGGCTCTAAGTTCTTCTTGAGCCATATTTTGATCTGTTCATGCCTGTTAGGTATGAGGAGCAGAACCTTAGATGTTCACCAGGGCGGGGCCACCCAGGTCGCTGGTTTGTGAAGCTGTAGGTGGGGGCGGGGTCAGAGAGGGACAGTGGCGGTTTTCTCTGCCGCTTCCTGCCACTGGGGCCTGCACGGGCTGTCTCACTGCTCCCTCCTTCACCGGTTTATCTGTGCACAAATGTGTGACCGTGGTCAGCCCACAGTGAGTCCACCGCCTTGCACCCTCAGTGGGTCCGCCCGCTTCTCCACACCTGGGATCCGCCTACAGCTGCCGGCGCACCTGGGTCGTGCACCCGGGTTGGTCAGGTGGATCTTTCCTGCCCACCCCACTCTACTGCTGGCTCTTCCCTTCTTACCGGTTTGGCTGAAAGGTTCGTTGTTGTCAGACTTCTGTGAAGTTCAATTTTCTGTGGTTTTGGCTGCATTTTTGTTACTAAAACTTTGTTGTTTTTAAACTTGGTTGTGGGAGGAGGCACAGTGCTTCCACCTACGCCTCCATCTTGGCGGAAGTCTACATTATTTATTTTTAATATATGTGAAGGAATTTATTATTTATTCAATTTTAGTTTTTCAATTATAATTGACATTCAATATTATATTAGTTTCAGGTATATTAGTTTCAGGTATACAGCATAGTAGTTAGACATTTATATAATTTATGAAGTGATCTCATTAAGTCTAGTACCCACCCCCACAGCGTACATAGTTATTACTATATTATTGACTATATTCTCTGTGCTGTACTTTATATTCCATTAATGTTTTGTAACTGCCATTTTGTACTTCTTAACCCCTTCACACTTTTCATCCTGTACCCCCGTACCCCTCTCTTTTAATACTACATCAGTTTACAATGAAAATGAAGGTCTCTAGTGATAATTTGGTTGCTATAAAGTTTTTACAGGTATTTTAAAGCTTTTTCATAAATTATTACAAGATCTGGTAAAATATCTTGGGGCATTTAATCAATACACCAGTTAAATTGTATATTTATTTTTATTATTTTGTGTTGCTGGACAGAAAATGAAAAAAGATGATCTGATGGAAACGACTGTAACTACAAGTCCCCAAAACATAGCTGAAACCAAGCAAGAAGAAGCTGTTAAAGAACACAGCAATGAAAATGCTGAAAATGGAGGAGCCAAAATTATAGAGGTATTTACAATATTAACAGATTTGTCCATTTGAAAGTTTAACAACTGGTGCAACTGGATGAAATCTTATTTGCCTTGTAGTTTAAAAGTTGAGACAGCATTAATTTAGTAGTGATTCTATCATGTCTTAGTATTTCCAGGCTGCTATAACAAAATACCACAAATTGGGTGGTTTACAAACAACAGAAATTTATTTCTGAGTCTAGAGGCTTGGAAGTTCAAGATCAAAGCTACAGTATTTTGGGGGCTGGTGAAGACGTGCTTCCTGATTTATAAATGGCAATCCTCTCTGTGTCCTGACATGATGGAAGGTCCAGAGAGCTCTGTCCTTTGTAAAGACACTAATTCCATTCCTGACAGCTAACTCATAACCTAAAAACCTCCCATAAGACCTGCCTCCAAACACTACCACATGGGGGATTAGGTTTCATCATATGAATTTGGGAGAACACAAACATTGAACCTATAACATATAGTATAATGGTATGTAAAGGGAAAATAAAGAAAATGAATATTAATTTAAATATGAGATTTACATGTATGGGTAGTAGGAGCAGTGGCTTAGTATTGCTATTAGTAGAACAACACCAGTGATAATGATTTAGTAATATAATGACCCTCTTATTAAATACAGACTAATTATATATTCCTTTTGTCAGGACATTGATTATTTGTAAATCCTTTTCCCTAATCATGATTATTTCCACCCTCTGCAGATTGCAGAACAAAATATTATGCAAATGTTTCCAATAGGTCTTGCTTTGTATATGTAATGTATACCACATTGTTAGGTATTATAGTAAAACACTGTCAAATCTACAAACTAAACCTGTGCATATAGGGAAAATCTTTTTCTAAGTGATCCTATAATATATGGTAAAAACATTTCAAGTAACTTTTTACAAAAAACGTAATATTTCTTCAAGGAATGCAGTTTTTTTACATTTATGCTACTCATTGAGAATTGCTGATATAGAATGTGTCATTTTTTCTGTACTATTCTTTTTCATATTTTTATAAAGATTATTTATATGAATTAAGTTTCCCTGAAGTTATTGTGCTAAATGTCTGTTTGTGTGGAGGTATTTTAATTAATCCTATTTCTCAGAATATTTTCCTTGTTATGTGATATTTATGAGGCCTTTTCCACACAAAAGTTACTTTTTTGTAAATGAAGTGTTATTTTTTCATAAAATACATATAGTCTTGTCTAAATATTTTGGGGGGATTCTGAATTTAAAAATACAATTGTGATTTTTTCCTCTATATATAGGCTCCTGCTCTTGAAAAAGAATTTGAGGAAATGAAAGAAGAAAAAATTGATATTGAAGAAGAGGGAGGAGAAAAGGGACAAGCAGTGGTATCAGAAGAAAAGAAAAATGAAAAAGAAGATCAGAAAGGAGATGGAGAAGAAGAGAAAGGAGAAGATGGAAAAGAAGACAAAAATGAAAATGAGGGAAAAGGTGAAAAAGAGGATGAAGATGGAAAAAAGGAAGAAGGAGATGGAAAAGAGGAAGAAGACCAAAAAGAGGGTGAAGATGGAAAAGGGAAAGGAGATGAAAAAGATGGTGAAGATGAAAAGGAGAAAGGAAAAGGTGACAAAGATTCTGGGGATGAAAAAGATAAAGGGGAAGATGAAAAACAAGGAGAAGATAGAAAAGAGGAAGGTGATGGAAAAGATGATGAAGATGAAAAAGATGATGAAGATGGAAAAGAGGATGAAGATGGAGAGAATGACAATAGGAAGGATGGAGACAAAAAAGATGATGAAGATGGAAATGAGATAGATGGAAAAAGGAAAGAAGATGGAAAAGATGACAAAGATGGGAAAGAGGAAGAAGGAAAAAAGGAGGAAGGTGGAAAAGGAGATGGGAAAGGTGGAAGGCATGGAAAGGAAAATGAAAATAAGGCTGAAGTTGAAAAAGAAGAGGTCAAAAAAGAAGATGGAGAGAAAGAAGACCCTCAGAGTATTGTTTAAAGCTGCCCTATGTAGTTTCATAATTTGGTAATATGTGCCTACGTGTTGTAATGTTAATAGAGGTAAATATTTTTATCAAATGTTTTATAAGCAGTTTTTCTTTAGCATTAACTAAATTTCATTATATCTTCACACTGATCATTAGCTACATTTCCTAACATAAAACCTTTGTAAGTTTTGTGATTATAATAGTGGAATATTTAGAAAAAGACACTTTCAGATTTGTCAGTAAATTTCCTTTTGTGTAAGTTATGTGTTAAATCTTTGAACTTCAATTTTACTCCTGTATGTGATAATTTCATAATGTGCAGAGATCTGAAAAGAAAAAATCATGTGTGGTTCTCTAGGTTGCTTTTATAAAGGTGAAATATTTTCACATAATGCTAAGGAGTTAGAATGATCTTTTCCAACTGTGACTTGTTCATTCCAGAAGGGCAGTTCTGATTATATGTGTATCCACAAAATTTTACTGCTTACCTTAATAAAAATTCTCTTCAAAGATGATTGTAGTTTATTATATGTCCAAAATATAGTTAGTTAATAAAATATTATGATGCTTGATATAGTCCTATTGTGCTGTTCATGAAATCATTTAAAATTTTGTTTGCACTTGGGTAAAATTAACGACAAAATTCATTATTTTAATTATTTCAAAGTGTACAAATCAGTGCTCTTAAGTATATTCACAGTATTGTACAATCATCACCACCAACTCCAGACAACTCCACACCCACTGGTCCTTGGCAACCACTAATTTATTTCTGTCTCTATGGATTTGCCTCTTCTGGATACTACATATAAATGGAATCTTGGAACATGTGCCATTTTTACCTGACTTCTTTCACTGGGCATAAAGTTTTCAGTTTCATTCCTATTGTAGCATATATTATTTCATTCCTTTTTATGGCTAATATTATTGAACCAAAGTACTACATTGTTAGTTGATGGACATTTCAGTTGTTTCCATGTTTTGTCAATTATGAATAATACTTCTATGAACATTCATATGCATGTTTTTGTGGGCACATGTGTTTTCATTTCTCCTATGTATGTATCTAGAAGTGGACCACAGGTTCATATAGTAATCCTGTGTTTAACTTTTTGAGGAATCCCAGGCTATTATCCAAAATGGCTTCAACATTTTATATTCTCACCAGCAATGTATGAGGGTTCTAATTTTCCTACAACTTTGTCGGTACTTGTTATTGTCTGTCTTTGCATTATAACCATCCTAATTGGGGAATTAGGGGTGATCAAAATCATGATGATTTTGATTAGCACTTTCCTAATGAAGTTAAGCATCTTCTCTTGTGCTTATTGTCCATTTGTATATCTTTTTTGGAGAAAATTCTAACAAAGCCTTTGCTCATTTATTACTTGGGTTTTAGTATTAAGTTGTAAGACATACACTTTGGATATAAGTCTTACCAGATATAATGATTTGCAATTTTCCCCCAGTTTATAGGTTGTCTTTTTACCTTTTAAAAAAGTATATTTTATTTATTTTTAGAGAGGGGGAGAAAGAGGAGAGAAACATCAATGTGTGGTTGCCTCTCATGCACCACCTACTGGGGATCTGGCCCAAAACCCAGGCATGTACCCTGACTGGGAATCGAACTGGTGACCCTTCAGTTCACAGGCCAGTGCTAAATCCACTAAGCCACACCAGCCAGGGCTCTTCACATTCTTGATTGTGTTCTTTGATGCACAAAAGTTTACAATTTAAGTCCAATTTATCTACTGTTTTATATGTTGCTTATGTTTTTGGTGACATGTCAAAGAATCTGCTACCAATCCCCAGGGTACAAAGATGTTCCCCCATAAAAAGAGTGTCACTTATAGTTTTATCTCTTACATTTAGGTTTTTTGTATGTCTTTCATTAAATTCTGTATATGATGTTAAGTAAGAGAACAACTTCATTTATTTGCATATGACTATTTCTCCAAGCACCATGTCTTGAAAAGATTATTTCCTCATTAGATGGTCTTCGCATTCCAAAAATCAATGGATCACAGATGTATGGATTAATTTCTAGACTGTTAATTCTAAACTGTTGTTCTACATCCATATTTCTATGTCAGTATCACACTTTTGATTCCTGTAGCATTGTAGTTAGTGGGTTTTTTTAATTTTATTTATTTTTTAGACAGGTGAAGGAGGAAGAAAGAGAGAAACATCAATGTGTGGTTGCCTCTTGTGCGCCCCCTACTGGGGACCTGGCCTGCAACCCAGACATGTGCCCTGCCTGACTGGAATGAAATCCGGGACCCTTTACTTCACAGGCCAGCACTCAATCTACTGAGCTACACCAGCGAGGGTGCATTAACTTAGTCTTTTTTTTTTAGATTTATTTATTTATTTATTTATTTATTTATTTATTTATGTTATTCATTGTGATTTTATTATTATTTTTAAATATATTTTATTAATTATGCATTACAGTTGTTCTATTTCTAGTCTTAACAGTGAAGTATATGTTCTCCAACTTTGTCATTGATCGCTCAGGTTCCATTACATTTTTCTATGAGCCTTAAAATCAGTTTGTTTATTTCTACAGAAAAAAATGGCAATTGGAGTTTTGATAGGCACCACAAAAATATGCAGATAAATTTGGGGCACCCTGCCATATTAGCAAAATTTTCTTCCAATCCATGAACATGGGATAGATTTCTATTTATTTAGGTTTTCTTTACTTTGTTTTAGGACTATCCTATAGTTTTTAGTGTGCACATCTTACACTTTTTTGTTTATTGTTTTTCAAATACGGTTGTCTCCATTTTACCCCACCCTCACTTCCAACCCCATCCACCTCCACCTCCCACCCTCAATCCTACCCCTCTGGCTTTGTCCACAGGTCCTTTCTACATGTTCCTTGACTACCCTTTCCTTATCCCATTATATCCCTTGCTTTTCCCCTCTGGTTACTATCTGTTCTTTATTTCATGACTCTGATTCTATTTTCCTTCCTTGTTTGTTCTGTTAATCAGGTTCAGCTTATAGGTGAGATCATATGGTATTTGTCTTTCACTGCCTGGCTTATTTCACTCAGCATAAAGCTCTCCAGTTCCACCCATGCTGTCGCAAAGGGTAGAAGCTCCTTTTTTTTTTTCCTGCTGCATAGAATTCCATTGTATAACTGTACCATAGTTGGTTTTTTTTTCTTTTTTAAATTTTAATTGTTGTTCAAGTACAGTTTTCTGCCTTTTACCCCATCCCAGTCCCCGCAATCCTGCCCACCTCCCTCCCGTTTCCACCCCTCCTTGTTATTGTCCATGTGTCCTTTATACTTGTTCCTGTGAGTCCTTCCCCTTTTCCCCTGAAATTCCCTCCCCTCTCCTCTCTGGTCACTGTCCCCCTGTTCTCTATTTCAGTGTCTTTGTTTTTATTTTGCTTATTTGTTTGTTTTGTTGTTTAGGTTCCTGTTAAAGCTGAGATCATATGGTATTTGTCTTTCACCACCTGGCTTATTTCGCTTAGCATAATGCTTTCCAGTGCCATCCGTGCTGTCACAAAGGCTAGGACTCCTTCTTTCTTTCTGCTGCATAGAATTCCATTGTGTAAATGTACCGTAATTTTCGGATCCATTCATTTACTGATGGGCACCTTGTTTGCTTCCAACTCTTGGCTATTGTAAATTGTGCTGCTATGAACATTGGGGTCCATAAGTTCTTTTGGATTGGTGTTTCAGGGTTCATAGGATATAATCATAGCAGTGGAACTGCTGGGTCAAAAGGCAGATCCGCTTTTAGTTTTCTGAGAAAATTCCATACTGCTTTCATACTGGTTGTATGTCTGCAATCCCACCAACAATGAACTAGGGTCCCCTTTTCTCCACAACCTCTCCAACATTTGTTGTTTGTTGCCTTGTTTATGATGGCCATTCTGACCGGTGTAAAGTGGTATCTCATTGTGGTTTTAATTTGCATCTCTCTGATAGCTAGTGATATTGAGCATCTTTTCAAGTGTCTCTGGATCCTCTGAATGTCCTCCTTGGAGAAGTGTCTGATCAAGGCCTTTGCCCATTTTTTAATTGGATTGCTTGTCTTCTTAGAGTGGAGTCATGTAAGTACTATATATGTTTTGGAGATTAAACCCTTGTCTGAGGTATCCTTGGCAAATATGTTTTCCCATACAGTAGGTTCTCTTTATTTTAATACTGTTTTCTTTAGCCTTGCAGGAGCTTTTTATTTTGATGAGGTCCCATTTGTTTATTCTTTCCTTTATGTCCCTTGCTCTAATGGACATATCAGTGAAGATGTTGCTGTATGAAATATCTGAGATTTTCTTGCCTATGTTCTCCTTTAGGACTTTAATAGTGTCATGGCTTATATTTAAATCTTTTATCTCCCTTGAATTTATAATGATGTATGGTGTAAGTTGGTGCTCAAGTTTCATTTTTTTTTGCATGTAGCTTTCCAGTTCTCCCAACACCATTTGTTGAAGAGGCTATTTTTATTCTATTTTATGTTACTGCCCACTTTGTCGAGTATTAATTTCCCATAGAGACTTGGGTTTATTTCTGGGCTCTCTGTTCTGTTCCATTAGTCTATGTGCCTGTTTTTATGCCAGTACCAGGCTGTTTTGATTACAGTGGCCTTGTAATACAGTTTGGTATCAGGTATTGTGATCCCTCCTACTTTGTTCTTCTTTCTCAAAATTGCAGCTGCAGTTCAGGGGCATTTATGGTTCCATATAAATTTTTGAAGTGTTTGTTCTATGTCTGTGAAGTATGTCATTGGTACTTTAATAGGTATTGCAGTGAATGTGTATATTGCTTTGGGTAGTATGGACATTTTGATGATGTTAATTCTTCCCATCCATGAACACGGTATATGTTTCCATTTGTTTGTGTATTCCTTTATTTTTTTTTTCAGTGTTGTGTAGTTTTCTGCATACAGGTCTTTTACCTCCTTGGTTAGGTTTATATCTAGATATTTTATTTTCCTTTTTTGCTATATCAAATGGGATTTTTTCCTTGATTTCTGCTTCTGCTGTTTCATTGTTAGTATACAAAAATGCCTTTGATTTCTGGATATTGACTTTATATCCCGCTGTTTTACCAAATTCATTTATTAGGTTGAGCAGTTTGGGGGTAGCGTCTGTAGGATTTTCCATGTACACTATCATGTCACCTGCAAACTGATTGTTCAGCTTTTTTAAAATTTATTTTTTAATTTATTTTTTACAGTTGTTCTATTCCCCCCTTCATTCCCCCCCACCCTACCGCCCCCGTCCCTACCATACCCCCCTTTAGTTTATGACCATGTGTCTTGAGTTCTTTAGATTCTATATTTCCCATACTATTCTTGCCCGCCCCATCTATTTTCTATCTACTGTCTATGCTACTTATTTTCTGTACCTTCTCCCCCCTTCTCCTTCTCCCACTCCCCTGTTGCTAAGCCTCCATGAGGTCTTCCTTTCTATGCTTCCACTCCTGATCTAGCTGTCCTTTTAGTTTGCTTTTGTTTTAGGTGCGGTTGTTAATAACTGTGAGTTTGCTGTCCTTTCACTGTTCATGTTTTTTTAACTTCTTTTTCTTAGATAAGTCC